AAAAAGAAGGAAATTTCATCATTTTTTTATTATGACAATTGTTTGCCTTCGAAACTCTCATCGCTCGCGTTCATTTTACATGCCTCCACAGTACACTGGAGACAGGCGTATTGTCTAGACGCATTGTCTGGTTCGCTTGATACAATGTAATCACATGTATGCTGGCGCTTGCAAATATGCCGTGCGCCCGTGTATGCTCGCGGTAGAATGCTGCACGTGCGTACGTGTGCCCTCGCTCCGCGAATTGCTCGCTCTCTTTTGAATGAGATTAGCACGTAAGAAACAATTATTTTTATCACATAGACACTTTTAAATTTTAGTGGCCCGATCGGGCCACCAAATTTTAACTTTTGGAAATTTTGGTGGCCCGACATCAAGTTTCCACCGGGCCACCGCTAGTGTCGAGCCTTGATATATATATGTATTATATTTGAAGATATACAGGTTTCTGTGGACACAGAATCACGTTGAGAACTGAATCTTGACGTGAGATTGTTGTTTTTTGTAGGTGTTCAGCATGTTTCTCGACATGCTGATGGACTTTGTGTCAGTCTACAGGAATGAGTTGCACGATTGGTTGTATGTGTTGTTAACACGCCTCCTCAGCAAGATGGGCGCCGACATGCTTGGCTCTGTGCACTCTAAGTGCCAGCGAGCACTCGACCTCGTGAGGTGAGAATACGTGGTTGTGTGGGGACCCGTCATCCGTCACTCAACCTTGACACATCAGGATGCTCGAATGCATATATATATTATGTACATATGCATGTTCGTGCATTCGTGCATGCGTGTAATACGTTTTCAGTTTCTTAAGTTAGTTGAGTAACATCACAAGCAATAAGGGAATTCGACCATCAGTGTCACGTAAATTCTGAAGTTTTAAGCAACATATCCTGGTGTTTAATGATGATTTAATGTAATTCTTTCATCGCAGAAGTTCTTCTACCCACCATATGAACTTTGTGCATGGGTATTGACATCACTCTTCTCTTATTGCAGGGAATCGTTTCCATACGACCAGCAATTAATAGTTACAATGAAGTTCATCATAGATCAAACTCAGACTCCAAATCTCAAGGTACGTGATCGTTTTTACTAATATAACGCACTGCATCTCTGAGTGAGCATTTCCGTGTTATGATATTTAATATTTCACATTTTGATTAGTTATTATAAAGCTACTTGCGACGTCGGTGATGTATTCATACATAATCCCTCTCTAGTTAGCCAGTGTGTACATCGTGTTGACATATATGTAACCATGTAATATTTGGTAAAATTTCAAAATCAAATCAAAAATCATCCGAGCTCATTCGTTAGCTCCGACAAGCCTCCTGGTTACTCTCTATGGTGTCACACATTTTTAGTAGAAGTAGCAATCTTAGTGATTATCGGGTCAATTTCAAAACCTCGATGAGGTGAATTTAAACACGTCTATGAACCCTAGTAGTGTGCGGCTCTGTCATTATTTCAATTAAATTGATAATCAAATAATATTGTTACGTACCCTGAGGGCGGTTTACAAAAAAATGTTTAAATAGCAGTACGAAAAAAATGTCAACTCAATAAATTTTATATAAAACTGTATAAATAATTGTCAACTGAATAAATTTTATATGAAACTGTATAAATACTTGTCAACTAGATAAATTTTATATGAAACTATAAAAAATCGTCAACTGGATAAATTTTATATGAAACTGTATTTAATTCACAAACCAAATACAATCACCGTGTAGATTCTGAAGCTCGCCTGGCCGTCACAGTGGGGTGGTTGTTGTAAGGCGTGTATTCTTCTGCAGGTGAAGGTCGCACTGCTCACGTACATGCTGCGTCTTATCGACCTCATGGAGGCGGAAGAGTTCACCAACAGCAGCGACACCCGCCTCGCTGTCTCGCGCATCATCACGTGGACCAACGAACCGAAATCAAGCGAAATCAGAAAGGTACGAACTAGTGTCAGCTTAACCAACGTGATGCAACTGATCGGAATCCATCGCGCAATCGAAGAAGTGCTATAGCGTATACCTACGCGCCGCAATCGCTAGTTTTGCTTTAGGTCTCGGATGCTTTTTTCGTTTTCGGATTGTCACGAGAACAGGTGCTAAGAGATCGAGCTCTGGGCGGACACATGGTACGATGAAACTTGCATTTTGATGGCGGCGCTCATACCACGTTCTCTTGTTTGCAGTTGTCTCAGATGCTACTGATCGCTTTGTTCAACCTGAACACGGCAGAGTTCAGCATGCTACTGTCTGCTCTTCCCAAGACCTTTCAGGTACGTTATTGACATGTTATTACAGCTGGACAGATGATTATCACATATCTTTGGTAGTAGTAGCAGGTGGTAGCAATTTCATTTGCCACAGACATAATGCCCCAGCAGGGTCAAATCATTGATCTATTTATGCTATTTATCCATTCGGTCGGCATTCATTCAATCAGTCGAATGATGTTGATTGACTTTAAGATTACAATAAATTATTTTGACCTGACTGAGATAACCAACCCATCCTGGATATTATTGATAGTTTCATCAAACTAACCCAATTTGTACGTGGCGCACACAGGATATCAACTAAGTCACGCGACGTCACCACGCATTGTTCTAGAACGCCCCATGCAGATTGACTATATGTACTGCTCGTTAATCACGCTAGTCATGAGATAGATCATTGGTGTACAACTCCGCGACGGCTCGACGACGATAGTCTGTCGCGACATGCCACTGCATCCGACGAAGCATCGCGCCGTGCACGCGCTCCCCCGCCTCGCCATCCTCACGCGGTTCACCCTAACCCCGTGTTTCCTCGTCGTTGCGCCCCCCGCAGGACAGCGCCACAAAGATCCTCAACAGCCACCTGACGTACGTGAGGAACGGCAGCAGCAGCAACGGCGACGCCGACAGGAAGTCTCCGATCAAGTCGCCGTCGGCGGCGTTCCCCGGCAGCGGCGGCGCGGCGAGCAGACGCACGCCGGCGACGACGCCGACGTCGACGACCGCGCCCCGGCATCACTTCGACGCGGAGAACATGAACCCGGAGGAGATCTACAAGTCACTGCGGCAGACGACCCGAGAAATACAGAACTACAGGTGAGGGTGCAGTTCAGTTCTCGCTGACCCGAGAAATACAGAACTACAGGTGAGAGTGCAGTTCAGTTCTCGCTGACCCGAGAAATACAGAACTACAGGTGAGGGTGCAGCCCGGTTCTTGTTGACGGAAGATCCAGAGAGAGGCATTCGACGCTCTCTCGCTGGCCGGGCGTCGATGTATCGAGGTGGCTGCTGCACCGTGTTTACTCCAAGCTGCAGTTGTCGCGACAGTGGGTGTCTGGTGGCCATCGACGTTAATATCATCGTCGTCAAATGCCAGTGTTTTATGTCAGTTGGATGGTAGTGATAAGTTTGATTGTAAGTTTGGTGTACACGCGTTTGTTAGCACGCGAGTTGATAGTCGCGTTGTTGATGTGCTGCAGTTTCGAGGCGGCACTGGGCAAGGAGGAGGTGAAGCACCGGAAGGAGAGAGACACGACGTCGCAGGACAGCGGTATACAGAGCTCTCTCCCCGATGTGAGAGGCGATTCTCCAGATGCCTCTAAGGTACGTGGACGACTGCGTTTCTACTGCACCACGGCATTTTTAGGTGGTTTAGAGCAATTTGTGAGATAAGTTCTGTCATCATGTTAGCTGGAGGAACAGCCATACTAATAAAAGAGTAGTGCAAATGTAGAAATTGTAAGATGATCATAATAAATGATAAGGAGTGATGCTGGATATTTATTAAATAATTAATTAATTAATCATATTAAAGGAACTCGGATGTTAATACCAAGCTAATATTAAAAAATCCATACTGTAAAAGTTACGGTAATGAAGAAACATAACAAAGCATATAAATTTGTTAGGTAACCTAAGAAAGTCACCACATCACAAACACACTTCCTAATAATAGATTAATTTCCATTTCTCTTGGAAATTGTACATCTGAATCAGGTTCCTTCTATATTATTAGAAATATTGTGAATTAAAAACATTGCCAAATGGAAATTTCATAATACAACAATGCTCTCATTAAAACTTAATCTATGATTAAAACATTCATAAGTACTCGTCACTAAATGATAGTACATTTGCTCTAATACTCGTTGTTGCATTTCAGCTTAGTGACACAAAAATTTTTGGGGGGTTGTATTTTAGTGGCACTAAAATTAAATCCGAGGTCAAAACTCGTTCCAAAGTCTGTCCACGTGATTTCACTCAAACACCATTAAAAATAATTACCATCAAATAGGTTCGACCAATGGTTTAACATCCGGAAAATTCATCAATACCTGATTTTTCATATATCTGAGCCTACTCTGCAAGCACCACTCTGCGTGTATGCGAATTAACAAGTGCCCCCTTGTCTGGTTGCACGAAACGTGGCGACACTGGCGCATACGTTATATGGTGCTCTGTGGGGCAGGCCCATGCTATGTAGAAAATATCCTAATAAGTAATATAACTAGTGTAGTTACGTACGCCAGCTTTGCATCTATTTCTGTAACGCATGAATATTTTAGGGCAACGTCGAATTGCATGCTGCTATGATACTCGGCATAAAAATTTACTCATCCCCATCAACGTAGCAAGCAGTAGGCATGAATGGACGGCAGAATGTCACAAATGTCAAGCAGTCGATTGTTCTTTATGCCTCTAAGCTTATAATACCAGGTGTGCAGCTCGGAAGTGGAGCAACTCAACTATTGGCAACTGGTTTTATAGTGAGCTGAATCGTAGCTTGTGTTGCGCGCACGTCTGCAAGTGAACTGTTTTGTGTGTGAACTGTCTGTTGAACTGTGTTCAACCGTATGAATCCGGTTGCACTCGGGTTAACAGTCACGCAGGGACGAATTACCTGCTCTGGAATATTAATAACTAATGTCGTCATGAGTTCAGTTCCCGGGTTAAATGTCACGTGAAGTTGACAGTTGTTAGTGTCTGGCTGTAGCTGCCGAGGTGATCTGATTGATCGACTGATCTGTAGTTGCTCTCAGTTACGAGTATAATATATGTAACTCATGACAACTAGCGATTTTATTTGTTGATCACACTTTTTGATCACGCGTTTATGTCTTGCAAAAGCTGGCTACATGTTGCTGCTGGTCGTAGCCAACAGAATACCGGTCAATCTTGTGTTGGCTGATTTCGGTAACAATCCCAACATATATAAGCAGGGAATCATCAATTCTTTACCGTGGCGCTGATAGGAGCTAGATATAGGTTATAGGAACTAAAGCTTTTCGCTTTACCTGCATAACGGGCATGCCGCTTTCCCAAGTTTACGCTAATGTTACTATTTATAATCTGCGGCAGTATAGATCACTTATTAGCGACCCTGCCAGTCTGTAACAGCTTATTCAAATAAAAGCTTGATGATGTTCAGAGGAGTATGGCTTGATGAGGACAGAATACATGCGTAGGTTTCCATGTAGCATACCAAGTGTAGCGTAATTACATTCAGCTGAAAAGAAGCTGTGCGAAAGGTTGATCGCTTGCACGTGACCGTGGTAAATTATGGTGCAGTGTCGACGAATAAAAATTCGTGTGTTGTTATCAATCTATTGAGTCATACTCCCCTGATATGCCCCCCCCTCCCCCGCTTGGAAGCCGTGAGAACTAAGCCGGTCCTAGCGATCCACTGATGGCGATTCCTAGTGTTACTTGTCACCCCGTCGTCTCACCACGTCAGCACCACTGATCTCTTTATACTAATGTCTTAGTGTACAGCGATCAGTGGTCAGTACGCTGGCACTCTCACCCTGCATCTCCCCGCAGCGCGTAACATAGGTGTACATGCTTGACCAGCAGTACATTCGGCTGGAGAACGACTGCCGTCGGCATAGCTCGTAGTTGTCGCTGTTGGGTGAAGCTGCATGGAAAAGCCGGTCCATGTGTGCGTACATGTCATCGTCTGCTACGATGCCCCCAAATTCGATTTTGCGAGCAACAGCACGGTTAATTTAATGCGCACGCACGGCGGTAGCATTTCCATGAAGCTTCGCCGAGCATACGAACTCGTAGCAACAGCATCTTCGGAAGATAGGCGGTCTCTTGTCGGATGTGCTGCTTGTCGCGCTAATTCACGAGCTCCTCCCCGTTAGCAGCATCCGATCGGGACGCGTATCTCGCCAGCGCCCCCTGGTAGAAGCATTGCGATTGTCGCGCATGCTCTCGCCGGCTCCCTCTAGTGACAGCGACCCCGACGTGCCGAAACACAACGCGTGCGTTCTGTTTCTCTAGTGCTCGCCCCTGTGTCTGCGCATTCAGCACAGTCCGGCTGCGCACGACTCGGCCGCGCGCAGTCGCATCCCCATGCCCCGGAGTCGGCAGGGGTCCGCCACCACCGATCACAGTCCCATCCACCGGCATGCTCCTCACAGCCCCAGCATGGCACAGCCAAGCCCCACTGCTCTGCATAGTCCTAACAGTTCGACCTTCCCGCATCTCGTGAGTATTATCGCGGCCGCGGCGACCTCAGTGTTGGTGATGGTTTGCGAGCTAACGGGATTGGTGGTTTTCCTGCTGCGGCTACTAACATTATAGGAATGGGTCGTTAGTGTTTGCCACGTGATGCTTTGGCATCGTGCTGCGATGTCTGTAGCTGAACACTATTGCTGTTGCTTATCACTGAAGTAGCTATAGTTTTAACAGCTCGATTCATAGACACAGATGGTTCACGGACAGCACAAAAGACGAATATTTGAAATTTAAATTCGAAATGTTGAACTGGTCATATAACTATCATACAAGCCTTGCATTTAATATGAGGTAGAGGTTTGTCTATGAATCGTCTTTTAAATGTCCGAGAATTGTCAGTGGCACTTCAAACTTCTATGAAGCTTGAATCTATGAATTGTAACGCTAGTCATAGAGTAGCATTCTGAGCTAGTCAACCTAGCTGTTAACCTATCAACCTAGTCCTGTTCATTTCATTTTTCCCTCCTGTCTCAAACTTTCATTACACTCGTTTCAATAGGCGGGCGTATGGTTTTACCTTGGGATGCATTTTCACAGTGATGTTGATGCTAGTGTTGCATGCTTGCATGAATGTTATACTGCATGTAAACATTTCCACGAGAGTTGAGCCTTCAATATTGCTTGATACGAGAAAGCTGAATCTATTGTATGGTAGTGATGATAAGCTCGAACGTGGTGGTGACTATGTAGCAATGCTACAGAGGTAACACTAACACTTTTGACTTTGCAGAAGAATGGCTATGATCGGGCTGCCCTTGCAGAAGCAGTGTTTGACGTTGAGAACGAAATCTTCAATGAAGGTAAGGCGATCATTGCATATAAGACTGACTTGATGTATGAACAAATTCAATACTTTGACTGTGGCATGGTGTGGAAGCAGCTAAATTGTCTCCTCTACAGTATTAGGTTTGAGAGATCGGCAGCTAATAAGACATCGCACTCTGCTTGGTCTATATTTATAAAGATAGTTTTATCACAACCAATCTATATGGAGCATTTATCTTTCAGATACATGGATCATGCTAGATTTAGAACAATAAAATCATTCGCAGTAATAGTTTTTAAAGTCCATGGTATTAGCTTTTAGTATCCATATTTACACACCTTCCAAATATTTCTAATAAAGTCCGAGTGAAAGTCGTTTAGAAATGAATCTCGAGTACGGAAACAAACCAAGTAATCTTTTAACATCATGACTGTTCGTCGCGTGTCGACTCCCCCGCCGTTGCAGAGTTCCCCGACGACCAGAACGATGTGATAGCAGAGATCCTCACGGAGCTGTCGAATCACAACGAGCGCTTCTCGGAACGCGAGGATGCTCTCAAGCAGCTGATGCGGCTCGTGCGCGACGGCTCGCGCCCGCTGTGGGAGGAACACTTCAAGACCGTGCTGCTGATGCTGCTGGAAACGCTCGGAGATACCAGCGTGAGTAGTGAAGCCATCGCTGCTCCATTCTCACTTGTGTTGAGGGGGGGGGGTGCCTGCATGTGTGTAAGAGAAAGTCTGTGTGTGTTTGTGTGTGTGTGTGTGTGTGTGTGTGTGTGTGTGTGTGTGTGCGTGCGTGCGTGCGTCATGTCTCACCTCCTCACGTCTCACCTCCTCACGTCTCATCGTCTCGCGTGTGTCTTGCCGCAGGCGTCGATCCGCACGCTGTCGCTGCGCGTGCTGCGTGAGATCATGCACGGCTACCCGCAGCGCTTCGACGAGTACGCGGAGCTGACGATGCTGCGCATCCTCGAGGCGCACCGCGACGGCGAGAAGGAGGTGGCGCGCGCGGCCGAGGACGCGGCGGCGACGCTCGCGACCGTGCTGCCGCGCGATACGTGCGTGCGCGTGCTGCGGCCGATCGTCGAGACGAGTGATTTCCCCGTCAGCTACGCCGCCATCAAGATGCTGCAGAAGGTCGTCGAGGCGATGAGCGAGGACGAGGTGCGCGCCGTGCTGCCGGACGTCGTGCCGGGACTTGTCAAGGTCAGTACGGGAGGGGTCAAGGTGAGGTCGCGAGCCACGCACGGCAGGTGGTATATATTTATCTATCTGCCCTCGCGGAATAACTACACCAACACTCGCCCACCCTCGCAGTGTTGGATATAGGAGCAGGTTTGGTCTACCCCCCCCCCCCCTCCCCTCACCGGCTAAGACTGGTAGCCTCTGGGGAGGACTGGTTTATTTTCGTGGATCTTACTATCGGTTGCATGGGAGAAATAAAAAATTTGGGACTGGCTGGGTTTGGATAATTATTTCCATCACTGCGGCCCCCTTCTTTTCCCACATATGCATATCGTTTCTATGTGGGCCAGACTTGCCAAATTTATGTGCAAACTTGACCACTAAATTGTCAACCCTGCAGTTACTGCCGCCAATCGGTGATGTACCTGTAGTAGGACCCCTCAAATAAAGCAGTCTGGTCTGCAATGAGTGGCGATTTTTCACTGATCGATTGAGCGGAGCGGAGCGTGTAACCGTTGTCGTGGCAACATTGCAGGGCTACGACGCGACGGAGAGCGCCGCGCGCAAGGCGAGCTGCTTCTGCCTTGTCGCCATACACCTGGCGGTCGGCGACGACCTTCTGACGTACCTGTCCGACCTTAACGGCAGCAAGGTGTGTATCGCGCAGACGCTAGCCGTCATCAGTGAGGACGGGGAGGAGGGAGTCGATGCTGCCGTCGCGTGCGGCCCGGGGGGAGGGGGCGGGAAGCGAGAGCCACAAGGTGAGGCGCCCGAGGGGAGGCATGGGGGAGAATCCCCGGATGGCTGTTTATTTTCTGGCCTTGTGGAGAAGCTTGAGGAAAAGGTCCTGAAAGATGGTACCTTACTGAAGCTGGAGAAAGTACTTGGGGAGGAGGCCCTTGGAGGCTGTACCTTGGCAGTGATAGAGAGCAAGCTGAGTGAGGACACCCTGAATGATGATGCTACACATGAGTTAGAGGGAAAGCCTGGGGAGGACACCCTGAATGATAATGCTCCATGTGAGCTAGAGGGAAAGCCTGGGGAGGACACCCTGAATGATGATAATGCTACATGTGAGTTTAGAGGGAAAGCCGTGCGAGGACGCCCCTGAATGATAATGCTCTATATGAGCTAGAGGAGCCTGGGGAGGATGCCCTGATGATAATGCTCCATATGAGCTAGAGGAGAAGCCTGTGGAGGACACCTGATGATAATGCTCCATGTGAGTTAGGAGGAAAGCCTGGGGAGGGCACCCTGAATGATAATGCTCTATATGAGCTAGAGGGAAAGCCTGGGGAGGACACCCTGAATGATAATGCTCTATATGAGCTAGAGGGAAAGCCTGGAGGACTTCTCTGAATGATATCGTCCATGTGAGTTAGAGGGAAAGCCTGGGGAGGACACCCTGAATGATAATGCTCCATGTGAGTTAGAGGGAAAGCTGGGAGGACGCCCCTGAATGATAATGCTCCATGTGAGCTAGAGGGAAAGCCTGGGGAGGACACCCTGAATGATAATGCTCCATGTGAGTTAGAGGGAAAGCCTGGGGAGGACACCCTGAATGATAATGCTCCATGTGAGTTAGAGGGAAAGCCTGGGAGGACCCCCTGAATGATAATGCCTTCATGTGAGTTAGAGGGAATGCCTGTGGAGGACACCCTGAATGATAATACTCCATGTGAGTTAGGGGGAAAGCCTGGGAGGACGCCCTGAATGATAATGCTCCATATGAGCTAGAGGAGACAGACGCTGTGGAGGACACCCCTGAATGATAATACTCCATGTGAGTTGAGAGGAATGCTGGGAGGACACCCTGACATGATAATGCTGCTATATGAGCTAGAGGGAGCCTGGGGAGGAACGCCCTGAATGTAATGCTCATATGAGCTGCAGAGGGAAAGCCTGGGGAGGAGCCCCTGAATGATAATGCTCTAATGAGTTAGAGGAAAGCCTGGGGAGGACGCCTGCGATGATAATGCTTCATGTGAGTTAGAGGGAAAGCCTGGGGAGGACACCCTGAATGATAATGCTCTATATGAGCTAGAGGGAAAGCCTGGGGAGGACACCCTGAATGATAATATAACTACATGTGAGTTAGAGGAAAGCCTGGGAGGACACCCTGAATGATAATGCTTCATATGAGCTAGAGGAAAGCCTGGGGAGGCCACCCTGAATGATAATGCTAGCCATGTGAGTTAGAGGGAAAGCCTGGGGAGGACACCCTGAATGATAATTGCTGCTATATATGACTAGAGGGAAAGCCTGGGGGACACCCTGAATGATAATGCGTTCATGTGAGTTAGAGGGAAGCCTGGGGAGGATGCCCCTGAATGATAATGCTCTATATGAGTTAGAGGGAAAGCCTGGGGAGGACGCCCTGAATGATAATGCTTCTGTGAGTTAGAGGAAAGCCTGGGGAGGGACACCCTGAATGATAATGCTCCATGTGAGTTAGAGGGAAAGCCTGGGGAGGACACCCTGAATGATGATAATACACGTGATTCACGTATCCTAGTGGAAGGAATCTCAGAAGGGTAGCACCTCACCAGTTAAAGGAGAAGTCTGTGAACGAGCCCCTGAGGACAGATCTATATAAGGCAAAGCATTGGGCGGCTGAGAAGTCCCTGCAAGACAGTGGCCACCTGGGATAAGCTGAGCTGGGATAGATTGAGTTGCTGACATAGATAGATCCCTATCTATACCAAGGAATATGAGTAGTTGTCTTTCCTTCAAGCTTGGATGTAGAGGAAAGTGGTGACATTGTGCTTACATTTCATATATTCTAGATTATATTGTCTCGTATAGAATCGTTATTATAGTGTCAGTCAAGACTTACTGCCCGTTTCATTGTATAGCTTCTGCCAAAATATCGTATGTAGTAAGTATTGTGAACCAAGAAAAATATATAAAGTATCATAATAATATAAATATAATAAAACCTTTAATTACGCCACATTATTAGAATATATGTTAGCGTGAACAGGCTATCTATTTTTTGCTCTAGTGCTGTACGCATGAAGAGCATTTTTGGCAAAATTATTTCACTTTGAAATGTAGACAGTGGCTGCACTGCATGTGCACGTGCACATTATCTCACAGAACTGATGTTTATTTACTTGAGGCAAAAGTATGATCGTTTAGTCTGTATGTGTATATGATGCATGCAATGTATTCATTTGAAAACAAAACAAAGAGTATCTGGATGTAAATGGTTATAAAGTTTTTCGGAATGGATAGATATTTATGAAAAATAGATACCATGTCATCTCGATTAATTCTAAAAGAGAGAGAAAACATGTTGTTTTGAACAATATCTCTATGAATTTCGATGAGAAGCATTACATATAATCAATAAAGAGTATTAATGAAATTAAGAGATGCAAATTGCATTATGGAAAAACTCATTATAGGCCAATAGAAACTATCAATAGAAAATTATGAGAAGTCAGTGCAAAGTCTTAAGCGGGACAATGATTAGAGTTTGGCAATTAGTGTCAATAATTGATGATCAGTGGCATAAACGAAAGAACATTAGCAGTCAACACAAATTGATAGTGATTAAAGTTCACTTGAAAGTATTAGGAAAAATTCATTTGAGATCAGTAAAAACTTCAAATTTAAAACAATCGAAGCTCAATGAAAGACAGTGCGTAAGAAAGACGAGGTTCCTGTAAACGTAACTGTACATGCTACTAGGAAAATGGTTGGCTCTTTGTTTTGTGTTTCGCGCAAATGAATATCAATTGTGTTTGCTTTCAGATGAAGCTGTTGAATTTGTACATAAAGCGAGCACAGCAGACCACACAGCAGACGACGCCCACACCTCCTCGATAAACTCATAACGGCCCTACGCATATCAGTAATGGGAGCTTCTCAGTTGGCTATGCCCGCTGTCATGGGTACCGCGACGCACCCTGCAGCTTTCTGCCTCGAAAAGGAATTGGACACTGCACGGAAATTTTAATGGAAAAGACAAGCAATGCACCTTTCACACGGATTAGGCTTTTGGCTCGTACGTGGCACGTTTTAAAAACACTGGCCACAACTGTCACTATTTTATTTCGAATTCCAACAGACATTTTGTGCTGATGTGACAGAAGTATTTAACAATATCTGAGAATTATCCTTCCCAGTACTGCGGTAACCTCCCCCTGTCCCCTATCCAGGGTTGCTTTCAGAGATCGGCTTATACATGGTACTTGCTGCGAATGTAATCTGTGGATGCATGCCTGCGTCAGGTCGTTGCATTTATCTGCGCTGTTAATTGACTACTATACTAGGCTGAACTCTGCCTCTGTATTCATGCATCGTCATGGCTACATCGCTCTACGAGGCAAGCTGTTGCTACCGCGGCATGTTTCTTATTGTTTACGACTTGAACAAACGTGCGTATTCGTACTTGTATACGACATTGTAAATTGTGGTTAGGAAGGGCACCTTACTTGGGTTGTCTCACTACCTGCGTACATCTGCGCATGCATGCTCGCACGCAATTACAGTACACGGGATATACGCACGCGACTAAGCGCACGTATGCACGCACGCATGCACGCATGCATGTACTCCACAAACGTGTGCGCGCTCACGCATTGCTCTCGGCGTAGAAGCTTGTAGATGCATGCTACCCTAACTAATTTTTCCATTAATGCTAAAGTGTGTAAAATGCAAATGCTAATTGTGGAATGAAAAGGTTATTCATCGATAATGGTGTGAGCACAGTTCATATTCGTATATATACCCATCGTACGTACCCATACTTGGCTATAATGCTATACAATGACTATTATCCATACTACATGTCCGAGCCTTTGATACTTGCTGTACCTGAGGTTTGACAGAAGGAGTCTTGCCTTGACCCTGAAATTGTGTAGTGGAACTTAGTAACGCCTTTTCCTATCTCCGTTTTAGTGTTTACAATGTCGCTTTTTGCCAAACATCGCAGACAGTGCAATAGCGTAGCTGTGGTCACAGCGCGGGAGCGGGCGGTCATACCTGTATGATTGTATAGGTGGCTACAATTAATCTGTCGCTGTCACTAAAGTATCCGGCTGTGACGTTAGCTGGCCGGGTATCCTCGATTGGGCGTTTAAATATATCCGCGGGTGGTGCGTGCGTTGCTATTATTTATACTGCTGCTGCTGCTGGTGATAGACGGTGAGTGGGATTCCGTGTTACTGTCATCTATGGCGTCATCTATCGCTATTACTGGCGTCTAGAGCGCTCGCTCTGCGACGCGTGTAATAGAGCCGGCAGCGGGAGCTAGGTTTACGGTAAACGCCTCTCGTTTCCGCACGAACACGAACACAGATATGTATGCGTGGCATCATCCAGGTTGCTTAATCGTTAGTCTATATGGGTGCAGTGCTTGCCAACTGACCGCAATGGCGCCACTAGTATGCTTACCAGTGGCACTAACCCGCACAAGCACTACGCTACCCAGTGCGGTATACGGTGCATTTAGCGTGAGTTGAGCATGCGCGTCGAGCCCGACAGCTCGGCGTATGAGAGCGTGAACTGTGACGTCACCGCGCGGCAGAGTTTGACCCGCGTCTTAAGGCCGCCGCACACCAGCCGATTTTTCACGCGATTTGATCGGCCCGATAGAAATCAGCCGATATCGGGTAGGTGTGCGCGTTCATTTGTAGACGATTTTATTTTTATCGGGTGATCGTTCCAAATCAAACATGTTTGATTTTGAACCGATGAGCCGATGAGCCGATTTTACAAACGATGAAGCGATGTAGGTGTGCGGCGGCCTTTACCGGAATGCAGCCTCTGAACGTCTTCTCTTTCCCCTGTCTGTTCGGCTCTTTCCCGGCATCCTGACTGGATTGTGGGTCCAGACGCCACTGCGTCAGTGTGCGGCACCGTCGCCGACTGCAGATCAGAGATGGAGCCGACAGGTTCTGATTAATGTTTCGGGAGAGTCGGCATGCATGGATGGTTAATATGAGTGTTGCGCAAGCAAATGTGTTCTTTGGTTGTGTGCGGGGGAGAGGGCATTCGCGTTGTGAGCCAGGTTGACTAGTTGTGGAATTTTAGAGTATATGTGTATAAGCAGACGCCAATAACGTCGCGTTCGAACGCTAACGCTGGTTTGTAGTTGTCATTGGACTCGACTGGTTGTTCGGGTGATACATTGCCGTATTGATGCGTTATTCTTCCTGCGATAGCAATGCCGAGATATACATGCATGCGTCTTTAGCAGTTATTCATTGCATCCGTGTCGTCTTCGTATGCCATATAGCGAGAGAAGGAGAAAGAAAATCGGCACCTCTGGCGTACCGACGTGTTTGGGATGTCGTAGCCAGGTGTTGGCGCTTGGCGCGTAGAACGATAGATCGCAGTGTGTCGGTGGTTCATGGCGGCAACGAGATTACGCGGCGCTGTCACGTGACCTTCACTTTCACCTTTATTGGTGTTTCATCGAGATGTCAGAACATAGTATCGTTTTACCAGATCGCAGGGCTGAGAAGCTGGTTGTGGCTGCCATCGTCATCGTCATCGTCATCGTCATCGTCATCGTCATCGTCATCGTTGTCGTTGTCGTGTGCATGTTGTACGTGTCACGGCTACTTTTATTAACGTGTACAGAATTTTTTGCGTTTCACATTTTTAAGCTTTTTGTAAATAAAATTAGGAAATTTTTGATGAGTTCTCGTGTTCGTTGTTGGAGATGCAATGGCGTACATGCGCTTCTATGAAAGTTCGTGGTTTTTCAAGGAGAGGAAGAGTGCTCCTCGAAACGTGTGCTATATTCCGAGCGTGGTAGTCACTCAAAGAACGCGAAAGGTGCAAATGCTGGATTGACGTTGAGGGCTCGGCCTCTTTGACTTATTCGAATGTGAAGCATTGTTTATCGTTTTAAAGCGACCCAGCTTGGAACTTTCTTTACTACTATAGTGTATAATTCGCTGTATCACATGTCTGTATATGAACGTAGTATCGTAGACCAGCTAAAACTCTGTACGCTGCTGTAGTAAGCAGCAGCCTGGCGTCCGTCGCTCGGGCTTCATCACTCTTTCTCGCTACGCGCGCTGAGCCAGCATGGAGCGTTGAGCGTGTGTTGACAGTAAGAGGGTCTGCCATAGGTCTGTAGTCTGCGATAGGCGATATAACGCGGGTGATGTAGGCGCACGTGAGCATCGCGTCCATTTCGTTCGTCCGGGATGCATTCGCGCGCGCGAAAAAGGTGGTTTATCGCGGCTCGAGTTTTTAACGCGTACGTCTCTCGTGCGTCACGCGTGTTCCATGTGTGTTTCGCGCATGTGCTTCATATGTCGCCGGCAAATCATGGCGTCGTCTCTGTTGTGGTTATTAATCTCGAGAAACTGACGCTAGCGCCGGTGATAACGCGGCTCATATTTAACCGTCGTTTTCCGAAAATACATATACACCCGATAAATACACACTGTTCTTCGATTCTTAGTAGGTGAATGAACCTACTTGGGAAATATTGCACCGTGCTATTATGATTAAGGTGGTGGTCCGAAGGAGGGAAGAAATAGAGGGGGAGAGGAGAAGGGGTAGGTATAGGTAGATACATCATGTCAGTCAGTCACTTGTGAATTGTGTATACATGCTCGGTACTGTTTGCTTAATACTTGTATTAAACTATTGTCATGCCAATTTTAATTTTTGCATGTGTATGCTAAATTGCTGTACTTTACTCTCGGATATGTTTGTGTAACTATGTTATTAAACTGCTATTTAAAAACGGAATTGGTGTTTTTAACTCTCTTTACTCTCCTAAATGGTCGTACGTTTGTTATCCTAATGCGGGTTACGAGGCCGCCGTAACGTAATGTAACGTAATGTAACGTAACGTTATGTTCAAATCCATAATTAACGCTGAATTCATGGAACTCGAGGTGGCATGAGGATAAAATTTCCTTTCAGCACACCATTTTGGAAATCCTGCTCTATTGTAAACATGTAAATTTTTGAAAATCTCGTTGTTTTGGCAGGTTACGCACAAAGATCTGACGCTGAAATCCCTGCTAATTATAATGTAAGCGAGTAAAGAGCAACCTTTACCAGTGAAGCATTACTAATACGCTGTACATGGTTGTGCGCCTATTTCGGCAAAAAGGTTCACACTAGTATAGCGTGGAAATACAGGAATTGGGAAGAAAATGAGCAAGAAAAGATGGAGAATGGAATACCGTCGCTAGTCGCACAGACTTTATAATGATTCTTACAAATACACGCAATCGTAATCTCATATCATCAGGAGTCTATCAATCAATATTGATAGACTCCTGATATCATTAGCAGACTATTTATTATGAGAAAAATGTCATTAGCAGTCTGTAGATAAAATACATTCGTAGCATTCAATGTTGTGACGACTTAAAACTGCTTAGATGTTCTTACCCGAAATTTGAATAATAGCAATCACATAATACTGATGTAAACAACAAGCAAAACGAGCTAATAACTTCACAACACGTCAACAATTATCCATATATAACCATATATAACTATATATCCATATATAACCACCAATAGAAGGTAAATGCATTAGGCATACAGAACTATTCTCCTATATACACTATACACTATAAACTTAATGACGAGACTGTTATGGCGTCGTACATCACGCTCGCACTTACACTAAACCATTTATCAATTGTCAATAACATTTAACATGCAGTTGTCACAACATAAACTGTTAGCTTCGTTAACTCGTAGCGTTACGACGTTGCTGACAGCCAGTTCTGTCTCTACACAAGTAGCCATAACATGCTGCCTAACACGTACACCACAATTGCTACGCGTTGATCTACCATGATCACGACATACTTATTCGACTTATATATAGATCACTTAACACATGGTTCTCCAGAAGTCCTTTGTTAACAGTCAACAACTCCATGTTTAACCCTCCTCTTGAGGGTCAAAAGGTTATCAGACACTTACTCTTCGCACGTCAGCGGAAAGTAGATTTCATGGTCCTTTCAATAAAGTGATAAAAACGGTAGGTCAGTGCTGAAACAAAAAAGTTTTGCACTCGGTTCGTTAGACCATGTCCTCAGAAAATGTCTGATATCTGACCTTTCCCCCACTGCCCTTTGACCTGTGACCTCCAATTTCGCACTGGTGATGGGTTTCCTCCCCATCACACTATACACCGAATATTAAGAGCGTAGGTAGACGTTGAGATTTGTGCCGCAATTCCGTATTTCCTCCTATACCGTAAGTTAAGGGGGAAATATTCCCCCTCCATTGACACATCTCGACCTTTGACCCTTCATCCCCAAATTCGACATCCCGAGTCCTTTTCGCGACCCCCCCCCCCGACGTCCCGAATATCAAGACCGTACGTGGAGCGGTTAAGATTTGTGCCAAACTGTTGACGCACAGACGGACGCACGAACGGACGGACAATCATGCGGTTCTACAAGCTGCATCTGACTTCGTCAGCTGAGCTAAAAAGTAGCCGATTAAAATTACTACCATCGTTGGATGTGACGTGTACAGCAAACAGGTAGAAAATCTCGCTGTGATGTAACAGTCCTGTGTGGATCGCGCCACGCGAAGGTATAAAATCTTTTCTTGACCATTTACAGGAAGAGAATGATGACCTCCAATATAAGCACGCACGCACACATACGCACATTAATTATAAAAAATACACGCAGTTTCCCATATATTTTGGGAAAGTGGCGATATGTATGAGAGGCTTGCAATTGGATGCTTGAAAATCTATACAGTAAATTGTTACTTTCTAACTCTAGTGTGACCATACAAGGTTATATATAAACAAGCCAAAGCTACCAGATTTCTTAATGGTTGAATCTCTATATACTATGACCCTTCTCCATTGCCATGTAAGGTAATTTATGATGTGTGGTCCGGGATCCTTGGATTGTGCGTCTATGGGACAGGATGATGACCATGGATGTTTTGGAGCTAGGTGTACGCAGAACTATCCAGAATGAAGGTTAATAACGCTGAAGGGGTCGTTGTCGTATATATGTAGTACCCGAGGTGTCGGCGAGTATGTCGCCTACGCCTACTCCCTAACCCTAACACCCTAACCCTAACCATATCAGATAGTTACCTCGGGTACATATTATACGCCATCGACAACGACATCGACAACGACAACGACCCTTCGTGCGTTAAATAACACAACCTAATATTACGACAAAGAAGAAAACACGTTCTGCACTCGGGATATAGCAAGGTTTTGTGATCACAGATTACACTAGTGCTCGATGTAACTGGCTTAATAATAACGTTTCAAAGCTTACAAAAATAGAATTTCCAACTGTTAACAAGCTACATACTAATCAGGTTTCTTTTCGTGCTTGTCGTAAATGGTGCAGTTTTATAGAAAATCTTAAAAAACTTATGTATGTATAGGTTCATTCCAGCAGTGATATATTTTTGATGAAATTGATAATTACCTGGCTTGGTTAGTGAGCTTGCCTGAAAGATCCAATGCTCATATTTGTCCTAACACGTGGATCTGCTAACTTGTTGCAAGCAGGAGACAGTAGGCCTACAGCTTTTGCTTCATTCTTTTGCACACTAATTGTAACATTAAGGATACTCTCAAGGTTTTAGGAAAATTTTACCGATTTTTCATTTTCAACTTTATTCGATTGCTAACACAATTTGCCACCTGTGTACATGCTCATTTCTCCATATAAGGGTACATGTGAACTGTCAGAGCGTTTTGCTTGCCCGCGTACATGTGTAGTGAGCCGCGGCTGACGTCAGAAAAACGCTGATTTCTCCGTTCCAATTTCTGACTTAGTAGTCGATGTATAAATGGATATTTCTCTGTGATTACAACTCGGAATAATTTAATTTTACACTCGTTTTAATGGTAACATATTGCTGTAAAAAAGTGCGTCAGGGATTGTTATTAAGTGCCGTATTTTATGAGTTATCTCTCTTTATTCGCAAAAATTTTAAATTCAAACGTGCGACTTGAATTTTAGGCCGTTTTTTTAATTTTTCTCGGTAAATATGAAACTTAAAGAAAAATCCTGATGCACTATTTTGGTACATATTGTGCTTAACATGTGGCGAAAATTTTGTATCCTCACTCTTTCTGGTAATTGAGAAATATCCCAAATACCATTCTTACATTAAAAATTAAAAATTTTTGTGGTAACATAATTAGGTGCTGGAAATTTCATTAATTTTTTTACCTTGAGCATAGAGATATATCTCCTCTATAAATAAAACAAGTGATTGATTCGATTCATTCGTCAATAAACGTTTAATCTTCATTAGAGCAATACCTGTGCAAAAGATTGAGAGTATCCTTAAACAAACTATGCGCAGATAAGTGAACGAATTTTTAGGTGGGTGTTCTTGAGCTCATTCTTGATACCATCTTTGTATTGTACCATTCATTATTGTATCCCGAACTTTCGATAATGGCATTTGTGCCCGATGGTATACACACCAAATATAGTAACACTCCTTGCATGGGCAGCTACTCCACAATAATTTGCTCTGGCAGCCATTGACCGAAATAGACTACTGAGCCAATAACCATATAAGGCAGCATATAGCAAATAGACCGAGACCATTTTTGTTAATCAATACAAAATATGTTTTACTTACTCTATACGCATCTATATCTATAAAACGATGCTCAGTGACAACATTTCTACACTATTATAAGAAAATGGATAAAACTGCACTAACATTATATTGCCGTATAATTAGTGCAAAGTTACTAACCATTTCCACATTTTATTGTAGACGTGTTTGTCTAAAAATATTAGCGTACCTGGCACAGGGTAAAAATAACCTAAAAATCACATTAATTTAGCACAAACTGGTTATTTACACATAAGCAACCCTCGGCTCCCAGGCATAAATATGGAAAACGTATTATAACATAGTATAAAGCTTTAACAACAGTAAATAGAAATAAAATATTCTACACACTACACTATCGCAATGTGGTGAAACAGCATATCAGTAACACTGAAACAGATTTTTCATACACTATCGCACTATCATACATTTTAGTTCCCTATTATCTACTCCTGATACATACTCATCTAACATGGTTCATTTTCAGATTGCATCCACAAATATCGAATAAACCTAAAAAAACTGCTCTACCTAAAATTCAACTGTTAAACAACCGTCATCGCCACCTTGACATGTCTCAGTTCATTTGAACTATCTATATATGCGCCTATAACTGACAGTACGTGTGGATAGGAGATTATTTGCCACTGATTAACTGTACGTTACACCAGCTCAAATAGCGCATTACATACAGAAACATGAATAGGTACAATCACTGCGATATAACAAATAAAATAACATATCCATTTTAAAATCATTAACCAGAATCCTAAAATGCAATTTTTAACAAGCTATTTCTGCATTGCTTTGTTGTCCCATAAATACTTCTATGGTCAACTTTTGGTTAAAACTTTCTACCCAGTCAGCGTAAGTCCACAGTAAGGCCCGTAGGGTCTATGTCTCCCTGACCTCTGTTTGACCTGGCTCGTTTAGCTATTTCTGACTAACCCTAACCCTAACCATATCAGATAGTTACCAGGGTTAGTCAGAAATAGCTAAACGAGCCAGGTCAAACAGAGGTCAGGGAGACATAGACCTTATCTGCCACAGTAAGTAACTACCGCATGCATATAAAGTACTGTGCTAACCATCATAAAATGCACCCTAGTCAACAGCATGGATGCTATGTTATATGGTACAGAGACTACTATAGTCATGAAATGTTTGCAAACAGCACGCCACAATATACACACACAACGCACTCACTACGATCCAACACTGAAAACGCGTAAGAACGTGATACTGAACGCTGACATAACAAACATTGTTGTACATAAATACTTATAATAACACAACACACACTATACAACAATGCAACACCTTGCAACAGTATGCAGCAGCCATCATTACAATGCAACATATCCAACGTGTAAGAATGCAGCATGACACACTTCTTATAATACAAGGCATGCTCACATGCAACAAACACAATGCATGAACATCTATAACATTGCAGAAATCACCCATGTGTAATTGTACAGTGTAATTATGCACGTTTGTAACTATAGATTTTCCCGTGTGATAATTGAGCATGAGTGTATAAAATTATGATCTATTTACAATGGCAACATTTCATGGACCCAGATGCAGTTTAGTTTTGCACAAAAATGGCTAACAATTAAGCTGCTTATACTAAGAGACATATTTAAACCTATTTCAGGCTTACACATCTGTTAGATTTCTTTATCAAATATAATGGTTCATAACTAACAAACCTCACCAAAATATCTCAACCCTTCTTTAAGCCGTATTAAACCATCGCCCTGCTTCATCCAGACAGAGTAACGGCATTCACATGTAATTTCCATTATACACGGATGTTAAAAACTCTATATTACATTGTGGAGCATCTTACCACCGACACATAAGAACGATGTTATTAATAATAAGAATACTGGACCTAGACTCCTATAAGGCCTTGTCGAGCAAAGAAATACAACAAAACTCTAAGTCTTCAGTACTGATGTTAGAAATCCCTACGTCTGCCACTATTCGACTAATTTATTCATATGCCTACTGTCTGAAGTCCAGGGTCTTCTGAAGAATGCTAGATGTGAGACTGCGTAGGTGGCCTGGCTTGCAGTGCTCTTCCAGCCAGTTAAAAACACAGCCTGATAGTTCAGCAAAGTTACTTACTGACACAGAATTGTTGAATGATTGATACAGAACGTCCATGATCCTCTGAAACTGATAAGAACAGTGTCACACACCCACAGAGTTCCTCTCCAATGATATCCACATCATCGTGTCAACCTATATACTATAAACACCACCACCATCATCACGATTACCATGCTTATCACTAACAACCTCATTCTCATCACCATTGTTTTTATGATGATCATCATCACCATCATCATCATCGTCATCGTCCTCATCATCATCTTCATCATCATCATCATCATCATCATCATCATCATCATCATCATCATCATCACAACCAATTTGACTGTAAATTGTTAGTCAGTACAATAGCCTTAAGTAATTACTACTTCCATGTAAACGGGTGTATAGTGGAAAGGTAATTACTGCAGCTTGAAAACACTTTCACTATATAGCAAGAAGTAGCCTAACTACCACAAGTTTAAACTAGTCAATTATTACTAGCATAGCACAAGGAGTGAATAAAAACAAAACAATTGTTTTTACTCAATCCTAATAGCACTAATCCAACTTTCTCCATTTCCCTAAAAGTTAATTGAGTGAACCAATATGCCTTAGTGTCAATCCATGCATATTGTTTTAACAGAAAACTTACCACTTGAAATTTGGCTTCGTCTGAGACCGCATTTTCAGTTTGTACCTCGACATTCTGGTGAGCCTTCACTATCCGCTCATAGTTCCTGCCAAATGCATTTGCCATGCTATAGACTGGTAATGAAGTAGTAAATATCATCACAAGAAGTGCAAGGAAAAATACCTATACGTAGCTTGCAGAGTATGTTAGCATCTGGCAATCATACCAGCATTTGGAGACAGAAAGTGCAACAAGTTTGGTGATAACAAATTTCAGGATACATACATCTAAATATGTCTTTGAATATATGTTGTCAAAGTATTACATTGTACAATGGACTCACAACAAAAATTAACATCAAAACATATTATTTAATGCAAACTATGTTATTGCCATGTAAATTGTAATTCAAACATTTCTCCAGTTGGAAAGCTTAATAATTGCTTACGCCTTCATAATTTCCAAGGTGATAACTTCCTTTCTCAGCTCTTCTACCTGCTCTACATATCTTTTTTTATCCTTCATCAAAAACTGAATGTAGTCTATGGCTGGAATGCAATTATTACCAAATTATCACGACTCTAATCTAGCAACCCGTATGGTTACCATTTCAAAGTGTACATTTCCATATACATTCATAACTATTTACATAGTATAATCCAGTTGTATTGTATCATAAAGGTGAATATGCAGTCAACCCTACCAATATCTTGCCAGTTTGTTACAGTCACTATGAGTTCAATTAAGTGCATGCACTCTATGCAGTACAATAGCTTCAATATATTATATCTGAGAATACACATTCGGCTACTAACTTCCATAATCATAGCATACAGTGATGGATAAAATGACGACATAGGCAATGGTATCGCAAACAGATTCAACATGTGAAAAGCAGAAGCATGATGTAGGATACACGTACATAACTGTGATAAAATAACAATAGAAAAGTAACTCAAACATCTGTATCACACCAACGTTTGATTGACCACCATGGTAATGTTTGCGAGCAATAATTATTCAACACAATCAAGTGATCTATGTACTCACACTTCTGCAGCACTGTAGCATTGCTGAGTTTTGGAGTGCCGCCAAGGTTGTCCGTACTGGCACAGGTTGGTACAATTTCCTGCAGTTCTCTGTAGCCAGTCCTGATGGCATCTCGCCGCTTCTGCTCTGCATGCTGGTGCGCCTCTCTACGTCGCTCTTTTGCCGAAAACACCGGTTTCACATCACCGTGGTCGCTATCATCATCATCTGCGGTGAAGATTAACAAGTGTCTCCTAAGTGTTCATTATATTATGCAACGAATTTGCAGAAATACAAATTCTCTGGAACAGGAATCCCAGTGGAAATTTTACTCTCACACATATATGCACGCATGCACGATGCACTCACACACGCGCACACACACATGCACACACTCACTCACACACATGCACACACACACACACGCACGCACGCACGCGCGACTGCGCGCACGCGCGCGCACGCACGCACGCACACACACACACACATATGTATGTAGTTACGTTATGTATGTATATCAGTATAACATGCCGGTAGTATCGAGCCACGTACCTCTACACTGTGTGCAATAAGACATACTCATTCCATTAATGCCTGAGCTAACTTCATCTCCACGAAAAATAACTGTTCGAAAGGTCTATATTAAAACAGTTGCTTTACATTCAAAGCTCACTAAACCACTTACCACTGCATCTCAATTAGCATATATATACAACAGCAAACCCATTTCTTTTCGATGGCGAATGGTTGAAGTCAATAAAAATCTTAATCGTGTATTTAGTTTTAATTGACCAAAATCATTCTAATCTGCACAAACACACGTGTTACCTGATGCAGGTGCAGATGATCCCGAAGCATGCTGGGACAGTGAACTGCTACTGTTGACACTGCTGTTTCGAGAGAACACAAATGGCTCAGAGAATGGAGGGGGTGGGCTGGTTGTCATCACCACTTGCCCTGGATCGCGCTCCAACTGCCGAGGGTCATAACCAGCTGTAAAATGACAATGCACACAGTTCAATACATGGCAAATACAATCATATTTATCTCACGTAAAAGATTTAGTAAAGCACTGGACACTGATATAATTGACAGCATTTTTCAGTTTAAACATAATTTTGCACAAATTATGTTATAAGTTTTCAATGCCAAACAAGTTCAGTAAAAGTATAAGTAAACAGAATATCTACTAAAATCGTGTTATTGGCACTAAAACATATCAAGATAATTTCATGTTTATCATCTTTGGGCACGGAATTATTTTTCATGTGTATATCGTGTCTCATGGTTTTAATAGAATTTCAGATTCCACCTAAACCTTATCTCCCTAATATAAAATATAAAATTAAAGCAGCATTCATACCTTTCTAATATTCAATAATATTCTAGCCTACTAGATACCAGTGGACAACTGTCTTCTATCTTATAGCAGTACACAGTACACAATAGCATTTCAAATGAAAGACAAATAAATGAACACAAGATACAATTTTACTTATCCACATGAGACCTGTGCAATAGGTTTAAGTTATATACTGGATATAAAAGGGATGCAATGTCGAGCTACAGTGATTGTGTGATACACGTTTTAAGTTTCAAAAAATCATTCAGAATCAAATCCATGAACATTATATTAGAATATTATATTTGTAATGTTTTATGTATTCATAGAGGATTAGGGAAAATTAATTAACTGTTAACTCCGACATGCCTTCAAAGGTGAAGCTAATATACAACATTCCATAAATCCTCTTGCCTCCCTTAATTGCCTAAACGGCATCTTTATTTCCAGCTCTGCTTACTTTTGTCAACCCCAACACAGCTAGCTTGGTGTATATATACTGTATACGTACGTCTACAAACTGATAGTTTAACTGTGTATTGGAGCCTTGAACCCCGCTTACGATGGACGGACGGACGGACGGACGGACGGACACGCAGATAGATATGTAGGTGAGGTATGCAGGGTTCTGCCCACGGTGGGCGGCGGTGGGTGGGTGTGCCCGGCACTATCTCCGCCCGGCACTAATTTTTGATATATAAAAAAAAAGTCTGATATATGGGGTTTTTATTGCTCAGAATGCAGGAAATTGAGTTTCAGACTATCCAAAATCAAAAATTCCCCCGGACCCCCCTAGATTGGCTTCGCGCCTAGTCGCAACTGGATGCGCCCGGCACTAAAAAATCCTGGGCAGAACCCTGGGTATGTGTTCGTGTGTGCGTGCGTGCTGACGTGTAAGTATGTTCATGGTATCGCAGTATAATAGTAACTTCAAACATTGCATTTTACAACATATTTCAATTATGTGTACGTTTTTTTAAACAGAAATAAAACGTGGCCGTACACAAATAATACTTTTCGCCACCTTCTGCCATTATCCATTGGCATTGGCACTTCGACGTTATTTAGATGATCTAAATTTCTTACTGAAACACAACAAAACCAATAATCAAGAACAACGCCTATAGTATAGGAGTAGGATAGAATATGCATCATCGTGGGATGTGCCTTCCGTAAACACATGATCATTAGTCATTACTGACATTAGACCCTACCAATTATATTGACACATCATTTATATCTAAGTGATACATCTTTAAAACTACAACTACGAGTAAAATGATTCTATTAAAATAAATAGTGTGCCAGAAACCAATGCGCTGACAACATAGGAAAACAAAAATCTAAATTATACGAAATCAACTAAACTCACAAATCAGCTGTTCATTACATACATGACGTTAAAATTCTCGCATCTCGCGAGATATCGCGAATGTTGAGATTAAACATGGTAGCTGTGTGAGCATTGTGAGATTTCTTGTTTTCTGAACTTTATACCAAAGGTGATGGTTAACCAGGCCAGCACACGGCACTTTTACAACACAGGATAGTCAAAGCTTCTTAATATTTTTCACAGGGAATTACATTTCGTGAACTACTAGTGTCAATGTGTTTTATATGCACCGTATTTGGTGTGAACTAGTTGACAGGATACGGGGGACAATCCCCCTTTCTAGTCGCCAGATTGGAATACGGCCTAGATGAACTAAACACAAGAATGGCAGACTTGCTAGATTTAATCGAAAGGGAAATCCCCGAAGGGAAAAAACAATTGCAAGAAAGTACAGACAACCTACTAAATGTGGCAGCTTACTGTGAAGACAACTATTTGCGGGTAAGATAGTTTGGCTCATAGTCATAGCCTAGCCTGGGTCTATCCCCAGGTTACTGCCGGAACGTACCCTGGGTACGGTCCGGTATACCAGAAGTAGAACGTACCCTGGTCACTATTTGATATGGTTAGGGTTAGGGAGTAGGCGTAGGCGACTCCCTAGACTCGTTAGTGAAGTAGGCTAGGACTAGGTACGGTCCGGCATATAATATAGTACCAGGGTACGTTCCGGTATACCGGACCGTACCCAGGGTACGTTCCGGCAGTACCCCGTGGGACATAGACCCTCTCAGCGATAGTTTGAGTTCCTACAGCCACTTGAAGTTGAACCGTTACCTTGGTACCCGGTACTTCTTGTAAAGTAATACTATTACTATCAGTATTACTATTAGTATTACTAAGTAATAGTATTAGTAATACTAGTTAGTTCGGCCAAAGTGTTAGTTTAATTAACTGAGCTCACTCAGTCGACTGTGAATTTACTCTGTCAACATTCCTCTCACCTTGAATTACAGTACGTGTAACCCATTAA